GGCTATGGACCAGCAGGGACTGGCAGTGGGAGGGCTGTGTTAGGAGGCAGACTCCTGTGTGGCCTTGGTGAGGTTGGGCTTGTTTGTGTTTCTCCTGGATCATGAATTGCTGGCTGAGATCCATGTGTAGAAAGGCCTTGAGCACCCGTGTCCATGCATGAGTTAATGTCTATCCTTTGTGGCTTTCCCAGACATCCTCCCCAAGTGAGTTGAATGTACCCCTGTAGGACTGTCTGCTCACTTGGTGCATTTATCTGTTTGCTTCTTTTTCCTCCCTGGGTATCTCTGTCAGGCTGGTGTTGAGTCCTGCCTCCTGGTGCTCTGGATATGAATTCCCAGAGCCCATGAATAACAAAAGATGCTGCCCTTGTCAGACATGGGACTATCCCTTTCAGAGGGACACGGGGCAAAGGAGATGCTGGGAGAGACGCATCTGCCTAGTAATCACAAAGTCAAATGTCGCAAATTTTAGGGTTTTCCAAGAAATTCTCCCTACTGCACACTCAGCTCCCCGTGCCCCCTGCCCAGCCATTTCCCTGTTTTCACACAGAAATGGACCCAAGCCAAGAGGCAGATGATTGTGGCTGAGTTTCAGCAGCTGCAGCAGTTTCTGGAAAAACAAAGCCCAGCTGGAGAAATTAGATGAGGAGATTGGGAGGTTCCAGATTGACACTGTCAGGAACCTCTCCATGCAGATTTCCCGTATCAGCGAGGGGATCAGGCAGCTGGAGGGGACATGTCAGAAGCCAGCAAGTGAATTCCTGTAGGTGAGACTGAGGGACAAACATCCCAGTTCCTCACACAGCGAAGGGGGGCTCCTGAATCACAAGTGCTGGGTCCCAGTTGTCAGATCTCAGTGTAACACTTTGTGCATTGCTGCTATGTGAATGACTCTTGTGCTTTGTAGAGTTACAGGCACAGATCTATTAGAGATGGCAAAGCCCCATTCACTCGGGGTCCATGTTCCTGGGGCCAGGGCAGGGCCTCTCTTCCCAGGTTTGCAAAATCTCTTCTCAGAGGTCCTCTGTGAGTGTCAAATGGGGCTGAGATTCTTTTGTGTCTTTTTTCTAGGACATCAGAAGCGCCCTGAGTAGGTACGTGGCTCTCACTCCCCTCACACTGCACAGAGCAGGGAAAAGGCTTGGAGCGGATGTTAGCACCACATCTCCCCAGAGCTCTACAGCCAGATGTTAGACATGAATATCTCTGATGCATTTAATTCTGAGGGTCTCATCCTCACACTTTAGACTATGGAATTCCCCATTCAGGGCACAGTCTGACCAAATGTTTCTTAGAGCTGCCACCTCCCTGGGGATTGGTTGCTGCAGGAATGTGAGGTGGGACATGGGCCTGTCACTGCTGGGCACTGAGCACATTCAGCCAAGGACAGCAGGGATCAAGAGTCTGTCCCACTCAAGGGCTGTTTGGAGACCTGTGCAGAAGGAGCTGGGGAGAGGGGAGCTGGTGTCTCGGTCTAGTTCCTAGTGGACAGATTACTTCAGCCCTTCACATGGGAACCTCCTGTCCCTTAGCATCTGGAGGCCAAGGAGTGAGTTGACCATAGAGACTCTATTCCCCTTTATTCCCCCAGCGAGTCTCCCCAGGCCAGAAGTGAAGAACTGAAATGGGATCTTTGAGGGGAAGGTTGCATGGCCATGGGATGTGTTTTCCCTGCTCTCAGGGTGGGAGAATTGGAGGAATTCTAACTCCAGGCCTGTTAGAGCTGAGACTTACTAGCCAGAAGTTATCAGCAGTAAATGACATACAATCACATTGAATTGTTTCTGTCCAGGTGTGAGATGGGGCAATTCCAGCTGCCAGAAGAGATTTCTCCTGAACTAGAAGAACAAGTCAAAGGTTTCTCCCAGAAAACAATTGCTCTGTCTGAGACTCTGAGGGAGTTCAAAGGTACCTGGAGGGGATGGAGGAGGGAAAGTGGTTCAAGTATCTGAGACTATTGAATCTGAGCTCTGAAGCCAACCTTCCCCTGCCTCAATTCCCACATGGGGAATGACGGCCCCATCAGTCTGCTCTCCTTAGAGACACTCTGGAGATATTTAAGAACAGGTTAGATAGACATCTGTCAGGGATGGTGTAGACGGAGCTTGGTCCTGCCTTGAGGGCGGGGGGCTGGACTCGATGACCTCTCGAGGTCCCTTCCAGTCCTATGATTCTATGATTCTATGGTTTGCAAACTCTGAACCTCTCGTTCAGAGATCAAAATGGCTAACGTTATTGTGATGGCCACGTGTTCCACCACCATATGTCCAGGTTATGATAAGAGGCAGTAAGTGAGTGAGAAACCCAAGTGGAAGGGGAT